AGCGCATTCTCGTAGTGTTGCACAACGTATAATAAACGCTTCACCCAGCTCCAATTTTTGCCTGGATGCATTTTCGCGCGCAGAAGTTTCTTTATTGTTGGATATAATTATTTTTTTTTTTAGCAAACGCTATCGCCTATTCGATATGTTACTTCGCAAGTCATTTGTTAGAAGTCTATTTGTCAAAACCAAACCGGTCACTCGAAGGCTACAACGTGGAGCCAGGAACGCACTAATCGGGCGATCAGACTTCCTGATATGCGTTTCGCGTGTTACTATATGTATATAGAGTGTCCAAATCATCCGTACACCTTTTTTAAAATGAAAATAAATGGCTTTATAGAAAATCGCGAACACTATGAGTAAATCGGGTACGCTCCATCGATTGGTGACATTTTCAACTTTTCATTCCGACCGGAAATACGCCACCCGGACCGAAAGTTGTATTTTTTTTTTAGGGAAACATGGTACTTTTTATTAAAATTTTACGTGGAAAAATAAGAAACTTTTATATCAAACGTTTTCTTTCTGAAAATGCCTCTGTTAAATTGACCCTTAAGGTAATTACGATGCTACTTTCGTCAGTCGTCGATGAGAAGTAGCCGTGAAAACAACTGATAATGTTGAAAATATCACCATTCGATAGAGCGTACCCGATTTACTTATAAAATGTTCGCGATTTTTTTAAATAAAAGCCATTTATTTTAACACCATTTACTTTCATTTTAAAAGGGGCGTGCGGGTGGTTTGGGACACCCTTTATATACTGCGCACTTATGCACACGCGAGCGTGTCGCGCGCGTACACGTTGACCTGACGATGTCGCGAAGAATGTTCAGGGACACGATATGTAATGAAAAAGTCCATGTGGGTGGCATGTGTAAGCAGGTATGCGCGGTTATAAATTTTGGCTCTGTCTTCTTTTCTTCGGAGATAAGTCCTAGTTTGCTAGCGCAATCTTGATCACGTTTCATGATTGCAGAACTGGAGTATATATGCACGATATATTTTATTATATGATACTGTGGTTTAATAATTGCAATGTTTGCTTTTCTTCTTCCAATGCCTTGTTGCGATTCACGGCGAAATGTTACATTTTCGATAGAACCGTCGGATTATTGAACACTGAATCTAATTTCAAAGTAAAATAAGGTAAAAGAGTAAAATTAGAATAAAGTACAGTTTGAATGTTTTAAACTATGCATTTTACGATTATTATTAGGTTTATTATACATTCGAGATATAACTAAACAAAATATTTCAGAAAGACGTATGCCTTTTGTTATAAAGATATTTTATCGGTAGAATATATTGCATAATAAATACCGTCGTCGTATTATGAAGGAATATTGCCGTTATGGTGACACGTAACGGGTTAAACTAATGTGCAGCAAACGTAACAAATATTGATTTAAAGTTTTAAAAGTATGTTCCAACTATTGTTACAGAACAAACGAAGTAAGATGATTTATGCAAACACTCCACGTGAATTTGATCGTCAAGAATTCTGTAATTTCAGAGCAGGTTTATGTGGGACACGAATTATTTATTTATTCAAGTTACATCGAGACACATAAATTCCCTCTCAAGCGCAAATATTGAAGCAGGCTTTTATTTGAAAATTTCTTTCGGATTTTTTTTTTGGTAGCTGAAAGTGAAATAACTCGGGTGATTGATAATCCCGCACCATTGGAAAGTGAAAAAAACTCGCGAGACAGATGACAAACGTATTTCTTGTCGTTTTCTTTTATGAGTGTTATATTGCTTTTTACCAGTTTTTTCTCTATAAAGAAGAAATGTTATAAGGATAGTACCGGATATGCTATCAGAGTTGTGCCAAATACCTAAAGACGGTCATAAAATTTTCGGCCTGGTTTTTCCAACAGATAATGGAGATGGTGGGAGTATATAACTGTCGAATCCTAACTGAATAGGACATCCGTCAGTTTAGGTCAACCCTTTTCAAACCGACTTTACTGAAAAGTGTACCTGCTCGGACGCAATGACAAAGAGTGAGATAGTAGGCGGTGCCAGGGAAATATACCGGAAAAAGGGTCGAACGTGAACTTATATACCACCTCGTGTCACATAAATCTCTTTTGCGCTGAGATAATATTTCGTCGGATAAACCAATTAAACAGCGTGTCCGATCACTTAAAAAATGTTCATTGCAAATTAATTACAATTGAATGATGATAAAAATAGTTTAATGAATTTACTTAGCAATTTGTAATTAAAGCGATGCGATGCGTTGTCTTTTTTCGCAATAGAAAATTTCCAGAATTCCAGGCGGTGAAAAAATTTCCAGGATTCCCCGGGATTCCAGTGGGAAATTCCAAAACCGTGCAACGAAATGTTATAATTCAGATTCTATTTTCCGAGTGAGTATAAGCAGGATTAGCTGCGAGAAAAGAATCGATCGGGGAGAGAAAGAAAGAGAGGATTAAAATCGCTGAGTTGTTAACTTATATTTTTCTGTGAACGTGACGTAATGTGTGTCGCACGTGCGTCGCATGTGCGTTTGTTTTTCTTTTATTAAACCAATTCTACGTCTTCTCAGGTTTTCGAGATATTAAAGACGATACTCTCGAAGATTTATCCAGTGAACGCAAAATATGTAGATCGTACAAATATTTATCGTTGTGCAATCAACAAATTAATGCCGCTCGTATTTATGCGCGAAGCGTTGCGCTACGCGAATCGTCTGATAAATATGACGATAAAAAACACCAACGTCACTTGCATTATCGTCCGAGCAACAGCGATCGCTTCAGTATTGATTATACGAAAACCCCGATATCTACATACACGCCCTCACGAAAAAAAAACAAGCCATGATTGTTGTTTGAAATGCGGATGAAATTACGACGAACAACGAACCATATAAGATGAAACACTTCATCTACTCGTACATGATTATAAAATAAGATTGTGAGACGATTAAACGGTTTTAACTGTAGCAATTCCATTATGTAATGATTACGAGATAGCACAATAATTGCATGTGATTGCCTGTTTATTTTATACGTACACTTACATGCTGCAATTCGAATATTTTCGACAGATTAATTTTATTATACATTAAACCGAAGTTGTGAAAATTTAAAACTGCACCGAAACCGTATTAGCGTCCATATTTTTTATATTTTATAATATACGGGTTATACATTTGAAAATATTATAGCACATATATTTTCGACGAAATTGAGATACACGGAAATGATAGAAGATTAAACATGACCTGTATCGTTTCTATTGAGATAATAGTGTCTTTTAATTCTAAAAATTTCTCTAGTTATTTATTCAGTTAGCAGTGCGTCTCAGTGCTTGTGCAGAGTAAGTTTTTGTTATAGGAAGACAATTGTTTGTCTTCTGATAACAAAATACTTTTTTTTCGATGTTCTTATTGCAAAGCATTCCCGTGGAATGTGTTATTGAGTAAATAAGATTGCTATACAGGCGGAAAATTGGACGCGTAATGACGTTTCGTGAAATTTTTCAGAATTGAGATATCGAGAATTTTGTGTATATTTGAATATTTTATGAATAATATTGAAGCAAATGTTACGCTAGTCAAGAAATCATATTTGGGACTTGAAGTATTCGTGGCGATTGCTTCCTATTATCAGATGTTTTTACATTTAACGAGCATTCATTTATAAATAATTTATCATTATATTGCTCACATTGCGTTTTTAATTTTTTTTATAACAAAGTGTTTATAACGATTGTTAATTAGAATTCAATCTTCTTATAGCGCGATGATAAAATGTAAATGTTTTGCACATTTTTTAATAACAAGGCAAGTTTTATCGTAATTTGCAAATAGCAAATAGTGTCTTTGCGGCTTGCCTCTCGAATCGCTATTCTGCTAGAGTACCTCGAATTTTACGGTGCTACGCGTAGGCGGTACAAACTTAAGAGGGTGGATTCAGGTCTAGGTTCTAACAATAGGAGCGTTTTCCCTCTCTTTGGCAAATTCTTTCGATGCACTATCTATGCAGTGACAGATGCAACGATGGAAGGGATGAAGGGCCTACGTATTGGTCCCTAACTTTCGGTAGTGGGTTGTTCTTTCGAACTTGGGCCTACAATAGGTTTAGGCTTTTGGCACCCCATAGAGAGTCATCTCTATGAAACCATAGCGGCAATATTTCGGGAGTACAGTTTTGCTTCGAACTTCGCAGCAGTGAAATCTGTTAGCAGAGTTTCGTTAGAGTCAAGCATATTACGCGAGCATATCAGACATGGAACACGTACAAGGCGTTTGTGAACACCGCAGGCCTCATGTATGGGTGGTTCCAAGTCACCTCGTTGGACGTATACGTTACGATACTTGCTGTTGCTATACTCACGGGTATCCATCTACATCTCGAGGAACAATCCCGCAAATATATCCATCTACATCTCGAGGAACATTCCCGCAAACATACAGGCCTCGGAACGAGCCTGCACCGAGCACTTCATACGAATACGTTTCATACGTCCACGGAGGATGTAAAGTATCAAAATTATTATCATTTAATATTTTTATTATATTTTACAGAATTATTGTCTGCGTCTCGTGTGAAAAATTAGATTGGGCTGAAAGAAGTGTGAGCCCTATTCTAAGTATTTACTCGATCGAGCAATGATCGAGTAACAATTAACTATAAAGTGAATTTACTTAAAAAAAAAAACATATTTCCGTCAAAATGCGTGCGTGCCTGGCGTGACAAGTGTTTCTATCACCAGTTTATTTCCTAATAGTGCTGTGATATTACCAGCTAAACGAATGTACCGTTGATTTCATCTCGCGAAAATTATATTTCCACCGCTTATTGTTTCAACACGCTATTATTATACACGTTTTACGTTTTTGTCTCACACGCGTAAAAAGTCCAAGCATCGCCGGGGCGGTTCGGTTCTAACCGATAGAGTTGCATAACCCGTTCGCTCGTAGCTTCGGCGCGTCATTCGTAATCAAGGACTTAATTACTCTGCAACTTTGTGTGTTACAGCGACATACTTTCAAGAGGTCAAGGATGGATTGGTCCCAGCATCGATATCATATACACCTCCGCCAACACCGGTAACAATGCAACCTCGTGAGTTCGGTAGTAAACGCGCGAAAAATAAGAAACGTCGAGAGGCCCAGCAAGAACGAGTACAACACCCTTGGATGACCGGTACACTCAAAGGACATACGGCCGTGGTAAACGATATGGACTTCTCCAGCAACGGCAAATACCTTGCAAGCTGTGCAGATGGTATGTACTTAAAAAGAAAGAAAACTATTCACTCTCTCTCCTCGCTCCCGTAACTCTGACCGGTGACATAATTATATTTGGAAGGTGTTACATCATAAAACGAGTATCTCCGATGTTCATAGCGTCATCCGACGGCAAACGTGGATTTGTTTCGAGAGAATCTGTCTCGCTTGGTAGAATTTACATTAACGTTGGTTTTTACAGACATTTGTTAAAAGTTTTATTGCTTTTCGGCACAGGAGCAAATAATAAAAAATTGTTTTAAATTGCAACGCGACTTAGCGGCGATAACAAAAATTCAATTCGCTGTTTCATGATTTGGACAATTAGTTTGACGGTCTCATCAGAGAATCTACGATTGAACTTAGAATTAAATTGTTTTTAAGTTTGAATGTGTAAAAAACCGTGCAGCATATAGGAAGGTCGTTGCTGTGAAAAAGCGTCACCGTAAGAGTTACGTTATAGCGGGAGAAGGCTTTCTTCCGTTTTCGATTCACGTCGATTTATCAATGTACCAATCCACACATAACGAATCGCGCGATGAAACACTTGAACTTGCAAATCGAGCATTTCTTGTGCTTTGCGCTGGACATACACACGTGCGTATTGTGTCTCGTAGACAATTAGTTGCGCAATAATAGATACTAGCGGCATAGTATCGCCCTTCTCTTTCTTTCTTTCTTAGCTGATTTTCCATTTTGCTAGCCGCACGTCCCGTCACAAACTTCCCGTAATTTAAAATCGTGGAAGTTATAAAAATTCGTGTATACGTCACCCGTGAGATGAGAAAAATTTTCCTTCCATAATAGCTCCACCGTTTCTTTTTGCTTGTGAATAAATAATTCGATTACAGTGGAGGTGACACTGTGCATCTTCAATACTGATCCCGGCGTGTTTTACAAGTGTTAAACGCAGACACTTTGTCTGCGTAAACTGACAGTATCGCGAGTCAATATGAATAGCCGAGATGCATTCCATAGATTAAATCATGAGATTTCGAGTTAGATACCATGCCGCTAAATAGGAAAAAATTCCGTAAGTATCGAAGAAATACCATGTCGCGGGAAGGATTTAATAATATTACCGTTGAATAAGAATATTCTGTTAGATCGCGAATGAAGGCGCTTGACGGTTTTCGTGTGGCACGTAGAAAAAAATAGACACGTTTTTATCGATGAGTCATCGATGATCTATCGGTGAACAAAATTTGTCATCTACATAATGCGATTTTCTCCCCTTTTACTTCCTAAAGTATTCGACTTTGATAAAGTATGATAAGTACACTAACTTGCGATTCGTGATCCGCGTTCTTTTCTCTCGTTTGCGATTTGTGCGTCTTTTTTTTGGCTCTTTAATCGGCTTAATTTTCGTCGTGCCGACGTCTACATCCCCTCTACATCTTTTCTGGCAGGCTGCCGGTCGTGCGCAAGGTCCAGCGACCCTTCGGTGTTTGTATAACATTATTTGAAATGCCGTATTGTCCCACGATTATATTTTCAGAGTACATTTTAAAAGAAAATTCTCTCCGTGTGGAGACATTTACTTTAAGCGTCACGTCAACAGTGTCGCTCGATAGTTTATCGCCAAGGCACGAGGCAAGGGACAGTGGGCATTGACACGAAAATCAAGCCGAAAATTGTAGTTGACACCTACCGAGTGTTACAAATCAATTAACTCGTCGGCGTTGACGGGACACACGAATAAATCGGAGATTCCATTCCGGTGATGCCGATAGACACCATCAACTGATGATGTTTATTGATTGAACAGAAATCCCCGCTATCTGATATTAGGTTCCTATCTTCTGATAGGGGACTTTCCTCTATTTTGCGTGAGAAAATATCACGGTCGCGTAGGAAAATCGACGGGCTTGGCCGTTAACAACGTCAGTGACGGGAATACATGCGGCGTTTTTGTATGAGAAGGGGCAATTGTTTAGAGAATTGAGGGACTTGGCTTTCAAGAAGATAGTTTATTTGTAAGCAGGCGCAGGGGTGGGTATTTTTATTAACGAAGATTATAGAGCGCAATAAGATCCCTTATGGATTATTTATCTGTCCGCATTTTTAAATAATAGTTTTCTTAATTTAGGGGAGTATTGTCCCGATATATACACCAGTTACATCTAAATTCACATATCTAATTTCGTCAATTTCTTTTATTATTGAATGCAAAAACGTGTAACGATAAAAATTTCTGACAAAGAAGTATCATCAAGGACTCGCAAATCTTACTTCTGTGTATTACAAAGATTAAAAAGAGCGATTGATTTTTACATTAATTTACATACGTGTTACAATTGTAAAGGTTAAAATATTTTTATAATCGCATTTCCTAAAATCGCATTACCACGCGGTTAGGTGTTACTTCAATCATACTGATGCGACTTGACAATTCATGCTTATTCATCATTTATAATATCATTTTATAAATACGCAGAATTATAAATTATTTATATAAAATGATATATATAGTTGATTTACGGATATAAACTGAATGCGACAGATTTAGTGTGTGAAACATGAATTCTCTAGCCATATCGTTCGCATAATCGTATTATTATTATTATACGCTGAATCCCTTCGCAATTTTTAATAAAAATTTTTGGGGGATGTCATTGGAAACTGACAGCAATACGACTTGGGAAACTGGTTGCCTAAAAATCGTACCTTTTACGCTACGTTGTAAAAAGGTTCATAACAAATTTATTCTTGAGAAAAAATTAAACAATGAGTGTTTGTAACTCTATTTCCAATAGCAATTTGCAAATGTCAGTACCAAACGAGAAATATAATATATTTAAATATTACGATTTTGGTAACGTTCCCTATGCAGCGATTATTTATTAAAGTATCCTTCTTAAAGTATGTAATATTTATCACAACTCTATTACATACAATGTTACGCTACTTGGCTCATCGCGAGATTCTAACGGAATATTACGGTGATGTTATCTGGGATTCTCCCAGCGTTGTCGCTCGGAAAATGTGCAAATAGATACGCTCTAAATATACACGCAAACGAAGCTAGATAACGCGGAGTCGTGTGTCAATAAGTAACAGTATGATCAGGTCGCACAATAAATCAGCTCCCTAATCAAGTAATTGACAGCAATTAAATTAGATAGCTGTAATTTTCAACGGCCTGCCGTTAGTTTATCGTACGCAGCAGCACCTGATCGCACGTCCCTCATTAGTCAGACCCCAATTCGAGCTCTTAGGCGCAGGTGTTGACCGCAGATAGCGTCGTTCATTTCGCGTCATAATCCGTTCGATGGAAATTAGCGCGGGAATCCTCGCGATTCCCCTGTTCACGGCTTAGTCACGCTTCGCCGGAAAGTGGCACCGGGTTTCTTAGAACGAACGAGAGACAGAGAGAGAGAGAGAGAGAGAGAGAAGCGGAATGATTTTATTAAATGACGCAACGGTACATATTGGGACGACGTCGTCATATCGCATTCCGTTATCCGAGCAACAGGCGATTCTCACTTGCGTCCGCTTCTCCTCCGTACACGTCTCCACCTTGCCTCTGTCTCTCCTTCCGCTGCATTCTCGGCCTGCACTTGCCCGTTTGGGCGCGCAGTTGGCTCAAATTCAATTACCAATATTCCGCGTGTGCTACGTGTCGACGAAACATTCGGCGCTACTCGCGTCCACGTCGCAATCTACGTTTGCCCTTTATCGATGCAGAACTACGCCCGTGATCGGGATGACATCTCCGAGGAGGAGGAAGCTCGCGTGCCGAAATCTCGAATTTTTTAAGAAATTTGCGGGCAAGTCAAGTAAGTAAAAAAAAAATACTGGTAGTGAAAGATGAGAGTATGATCAGGTCGCATAATAAATGAGCTTTCTAATCGAATAGCTGGCAGCAATTAGTTGATTAGAAGGTTGATTTACCATACAAATTGGATAGCTGTAATTTTCAACCAGCCGTTAGTTTATCAACAGCGTACAGCAGCACCGCGTCCCTCGTTAGTCAGACCCCAAATCGAGCTCTCGGGCGCTTTCGACCGCGGTCGACGTCATTCATTTCGCGAAACTGAATCGGCATCGCCGTTTTTAAATAATTCAAACGGCCGGCGCTGCAAGCAGCCGTCCGATTTTCTGGAACACTTGGACATTCGAGTATAGATATTTTTCACAAAGTTTCCCGAGGGATGAAACAATGGGTATTTAAATGTCTGTTAGGCTGACGTGAACGCAGTTCATGTTCCTGCTTCGGCCACCACACGCGGCCGAGTGCAACCGCGGTTCTCGCTATTTTTATCCCGACGAGCGTCCAAACGCGAGAACGTCGCGCAAATTTATCGCGAAGACGTGACCGAGGCGGCTGACCGCGGCAAGAAGTAATGTACGTTGCGTTCTTTTTTTTCGCCGAGGTAATACAATTAGCGAAAGTCGCGTGTGTAAGCGCCTCGTTGGGTTTACTTTTACACTTTACCGTTTATTTTTACATCTCGAGGAGCAGCTTAATATTGTCCCCCTCGCGGCGAATCGTTTCTCTCGTCTCTCCCAGTTAACAATCAGAGCGCGAAGCGACATTAGCGCGGTTCACGATGGTGATAGAACGAGATAATCGCGTCGAATTAAACATCCGCTCGGAGCGGGGCGACTGTCGAGAGGAGTTTGAAAAAAGAAAGAACAGGTTGCTCTCCCCTCGTAAATACATTTCTCTGAGATTATATTTGTCCGAGTTGGCAGTTTACGTAATTTTAGTAAAACTGAGTGCGAAACTACCGCCGCGGATTTTTTTATTCGCGCGCAGAAAAAATATTCATTCACTTGTACCGAAACACTTGCTAGATTTGGAGGAACAGAACATGAATTCTCTTGGAGATTTTCAGTCTCGAGCAAATTAAGGTTTGGTTAGGGTGAAGAAATCTTTTCTTCAAAATAGAAATGAAAGTCCAGCGTGGTCAAAAATCAAAGAAAATTCGCTCGCTGTCAAAGAAACTTTCTTCTGGGTGCAACCGGACAGAACTTTTCCCCTCTCAATTCGAACTTGCGCCGTCGGAGTGAAACAATACGAAACAAAGTCTTTCAGGGGGGGCAAGAAAAAAAGAAGAGAGTCCTCCTGCAGTTTCTCTCTTCTCGCGTCGCGCAACATTCTTTTCCGCGCGGAAGCTGGGCGTACACTCTCCGGGTTCCCCCCCCCCCCTCCCCCCGTTCGGGCGGAAATATCTCGGTGCGTCACGCGTGTTTGCACAAGATAACGCGGTCGCGAACAAAGACAAAGCGAAGCGTCGCACGCGCGGCTCGTCTCCCCGAAATTATTCGGACGCGCGTCGCCGTGAAAGCGCGGCAGCGATCGTGCGCGGGGCTTGTCTTTTTCCTCGGTCGGCATCTGCCGCGGCCGCGCATCGGCATCTACGAGTCGAGCGGCACGGAGCGACAAATGCCGCCGGGCAACTTGTTCAACGGCACGTGGACGAAATGCGGCCGGCACGGATTACGTATGTGACATTTTCTCCGTTTTCCCCTTTCCTCTGCACTGAGAAAATTTTTCGTTCGCTAAATCGAGTAGCGTGGAAAACCTTTCGATCTTGCCGATCAAGTTTTCCGATCAAATCGTGGACACGTTCGATGACGTTTATTCCACGAGGTCGCAGTTAGCGATGAAATTTAATCTAAGAGACCGATTACGCTTTTCATCGGACGTACAATTAAATTGAACGTATCCGTTTGTTAATGTGCAATTGATTATCCGATTAGACGGACCAGAATATTTTTCCCAGTGCAGCGTTTACGTTAAGCTTATTCTGCAATGGACGCAAAACGCCCGACGCCATGCCGCAACGCGAGGGATCGGCCAATGACAGTCGATCATTCTACTCATATTTGCCGCGTTTGGTCGACTTGTTGCGGCGCGGCATGGCGTCTTGCGTTTTGCGTCCATTGTAGAATAAGCTTTACCCGCCTTTTACCCCTGCCTCGTGTACCTCTGTCGACCCATTCTAGTGTCGCTGTTGCGGCTAATAGTGATTCGTTTCCGAAGGATTTCTAAAGGCGCGACACGGCTTCATTGTCCGGACGGTCGCTTGTCGGATTCTGCCTGCGTTTTCCCGCATGCACCCACGTGCGGCGTGCGAAACTATGTCAATCTTTATCGTTCTCGTCGACGTACGAATGTCATCGCGGGCCGAAAAAACTCGAGGCGAATTTTGGGTCAAGAACACGCGGCGCGGCCGCCCGCGCGGCACCGTCTACTTTCCACCGAAAATTTACAATCCTCCGCGCGAAGCCAGGGGCCTCTTCGTCGCGATTTTAACGGCAATGAAAGTAAACGCGCGGATTGTCGTAAAATCGTCACGCGAATAAATTTGGCGGACTTGTTATCTGCCTTGTCTCGCCTCGAAGGGGGACGGGAAACGAGATTTCGCAAGAGCTCGTTGAACTTATTAGGTTTGCTCGTCTTCTCTCATTGTGTGCCCGCCATTTGTACTCTGCCGAATATTCATGTAGATATCTTCATTAATAAGGAAAGGGAAGAAAGAGTCTTGACTAGATAAAGAAAGAAAGAAAGAGAACAGTAGAAAGATTTGCATGCGCGTGTCGTGTGTATGTGTGCGTGTGCGTGCGTGTGTGGACACCTTTAGCGATGTAGATCTGGTAGGTCGAGTAACTTACGTGTATTTGTTTGTCCCTATGAAATAAAGATGAGAACTCGCGTGAGACGAGAAAGCACGTCCAGTCCTCGGGGCAGTGCCACGCGTATAAGAAAAAAGAGTCCAAGAAGAAGACACCGAGGACGTCTTCGTCGCTGCAAGCAGACCGCGAAGAATCGCTGAGCTCCGTAGGTCGCGGGGATAAAGAAACGGGGAAAGCGTCCAGGAGCAGGAGTCGGGATTCTTCGCGTATTCCATCTCAGCGCGGCACGGTGTCGGGGCTCTCGTCGCCCGAGGCGTCCACCAGCGACACGTCCAGCAATGGCGATATCCTGGATGCGAGACAGTGCCAGACAACGCTGTCATACTACGACTACCTGGCGCTCACGTTACGGAACTACGTGCTGTCACCGGCTGAGCTGTACGAGCACGGTTACCCCGTTGAGTCGAGCAAATTTCCGGGTTACGCGATGATACACAACGTGTTGTACCCCGTCGGGCCCAAGAGTGACAGCGATAGCGGACAGTACAGCAATTCCAGCTCGTCCGACAATTCCGAGCAGGATAGCTCGTCCGATAATGGTGACAACGAGACCAGTCCCGTTAAAGAGAAGGGCCCAGACGACAAGAACAGCTCCGGAAGTGACGGGGGGTGCGACAGCGAGAGGAGTTCTGACAACAAGAAAAGCCCGGACGACAAGCAGAACTCCGAAAGCGAGAAGTGCTACGACAGCGGGAGCAATTCCGGCAGCGAGGAGAGTCCGGAGAATAAGAAGAGCTCCGAACACAAGAAGAACTGTAGCAGGAAGGGTAGTTCCAGCAGTAACAGTTCCGATGACGAGGTGTATCTGGACAAGAAGAGCCTCGACAAAGAAAAGATCTACGACAACGAGAGCAGCTCCGACAGCGAGAAGGGCCTAGACAGCAAGAAAGAGTTCTGCAAGGCCGGCAATACCAAGTTGTCGAAGAGGACGTGCGCCAGGTGCCAAAAGGTGTTCACCGTCAACGAGAACGGCGAGTATACGAGCACGGAGCGTTGTATCTACCATCATGGCAAGCTGTACAACCGCATGTTCGACAACGGCTTGACGTACTGGACATGCTGCCACCAGGATGGAGGCTCGCGTGGCTGCGTCGAATGCAGGATGCACGTGTGGACCGGCCTGTTCCCCGGGATCAACCAGCCCTTGGAGGGTTACGTGAGCACCATGCAGTCCCCGTACGCTGACAACCAAGTGTACGCATTGGACTGCGAGATGTGCTTCACTTTGCAGGGTCTGGAACTCGCCAGAGTGACCATCGTCAATCTGGATTGCGAAGTAGTCTACGACGAGCACGTAAAACCGAGCTCCGAAGTAATAGACTACAACACGCGATTCAGCGGCATCACGGAGGAAAGTATGCTTCGCGCTACCAAGACTCTTCCAGACGTGCAGAATGACCTCCTCGGGCTTATCTACGCCGAGACAATTCTGATGGGTCACAGTCTCGCGAACGATCTCAAGGCCCTGCGCATGATCCACAAGAACGTCGTCGACACCAGTGCGCTGTATCCGCATTACCGCGGTTTGCCGTATCGTAACGGCCTGAAGACTCTAGCACGCAAGCACCTCGACAGGACGATACAGGAGGAGACGCACGACTCCTGCGAGGATGCGAGGGTCGTCGTCGAGCTGGTCGTCAAGAAGATCCAGTCTGAGAGGGAGAATAGCGGCCATTTCTCCTATCTACACGCGTGAGCGGCGTCCTTTTTCCCTCGTTAGCAGCTAGGTCGTGGAAAGAAAAATCGTCACCTCGAGAACGGACTCATCTGCGTAAAGAAAGAACTTGCTCGACAGAAAGACGCGCGGTGAGATAATGTCGCGACGAGAAGCGAACTATAATTAAGATAATGTGTGAAACAAAGGTGGGCTGGGCCTTTTCCTAGTGTTCATTTCCAGGTGAATTCTGTGATATTACAAATATAATGCAATGCGTTCCTCACGTGCGCGTTCCTGCGTCCGCGTTTGCCTCTGATAATAAAGGGATGCGATTGTGATCACGCGCACAATACATAACACATAGACGTAACGTGCAAGCGCGGAAATAATTAACAATCACCACGGAGAAGTTTACAACGCGCAGTCGAACATATTTCTGGAAGACTTTAAATCTACACTATTTTTCATTATTCTTTGCACTTTTTACACTGTGCTCTACGTCTTTTGTACACTATCGCTACGCTTTTACCTGACTATCGATCTGATGTTACTTTAAAACTTTATCTCGAACTCGCTTTCTATTTTATTTTCGAATTGAACGACGATCGATTGACCGATTGAGCCCTTTATATTTCAGACTATTAACTATGTTCGACTATTAATCGGAGTTTCTTTGAATTTCATCTTTCTCCGATGTACACTTTTATATATCCGTATGTGTTTTGTATTGTATATACGTAATTTTCATAGCGTTTTATATAATTGTACATATTATATTATCATTTGATTGCAATTTTGTACTCGCAAAGATATGTATATTCGTGAAAATTTACGTATTTAACACGGATACGTACGCCTTCATTATTCATTATCACTTAGCGTATTCACACCCATCCTGTCCTGCTCATCACGCATCATTCTCCATCGGCATCGTCGTTTTACTATCCGCGAGGAGGGGGACGAGCGTCATTGATGCCGGTTGGTAAGTGCCTCTTGCTTCATTTCTATCGATGATACGCATTTAAGTTCCGCTCGAGAGGACCGTGGTCTTTTCTTCAATGCGACCGTGACGCCGAGTATTTGTTAACGTGGTTCGCCAACTGTAAAAGGAAAATACTCAACTCAGCGGCTTTCGTAGCTTGACTAGTTTAAATTGATCGATTAATTAATTAGTTTTTATTCTCCGATAAAAATTGTCCTCGCTGCGCTTAATCGCGATGTTAATAACGCATTCAAACTTATCGAAAGTTAACAAGAAACGTATCAATCCCCTTAACGAAAGTGGCATTGCTTGACACGTGCAAGATGTATATTCGCGCGATCGATGGATCTCGATCGAATTGCATTCCTGCGCGAATAGACGCGACGGCGAATTACGCGCCAAATTGATACCGCGGGTGTTATCATCGTTTCCTCTTTTAACGTGCTACCAAGTGCGATGTTCCAGCAAACAAAGTTTGCGAGCCACGTACTGCTTTTGCGCGTCGGTTTTTACGATCGGCCACGTGTGTGATACACGCGCGTAGCCGCTTATCAATTTTCAACGCGAACACGGTGAATTCTCTTAACGTTTCGACGCTCGTCCGTATAACAGTAGACAATGTAATATTTTCACGAGAGAGAGACTGCCAGTGCTTTTATCGACAAATCTTCCTGCCCCATCGCCCGCAATCATCTCGTCTCATTGTCAGTAGTTAATGATCGTGTATAGCGAAGTCATTCATAACGAATGTAATATTTCAATGTAAATAAATGTCGCACCTAAGTATGGAGACCCCCGACGGATTTTGTAACGATAGTATTACCTTGTACAATTTATATGTATTTTTCTATCCTCGCGTGTTGTAATCGACGTTTTATACACTGTAAGTAGCATTAGCGATGAGTAAAATTACTTTCAGCTTTGCTTCGTCTCTCCCTTGTCACGAAATTTCACCGTGAAAATTGCGAAGCACGATCGTTTCGTCGATCTTTAAAGCTAGACGGAGAAACAACGGCTAGAGAAAAGAAAAACCGAGGTCAGTAAGCTTTACTCATCGCCATCGATCTTAAAGCTTGACGGACAATTAGCGACATGATTGTATGATGAAAAGTGAAGCAGCAAGGTATGAGGCGCACTCGCGTCATGATTATGATCTCATTGCAGATTCCGCTACGGAATCATCTTATTTACATAGTGATATAGCGCGTGCGTTATTATTTTATCAGTAGTCCCCCGACGTAGCTGCAGCACTACGTTTAACCCTGAAAGTCGCAAGCCAGCTTGAGGGTCAGGGCAGCCCATTGGACACTCAGCCTGATCGAGTGAAATTTGACAATTTCAAATTTCAACGGCAATTTTTTCCCAATGATATACACGGGTCTTAAAAGCGGCCTATCTTTTAAGACTTTCGCGAAGCAACGAATAAGTGTCCCGCAAAATATATTCACGGGGGGAGTGTCCAACGAACGCCCTTTTCAGGATTAAAGACATTGTCATACAGCTCCAAACATAATAAAATATATGTTGATTATGAAATATATGCAGCATTGCCTCTTGTGTTTGCTTTTATTTCGAGTATCTCTTTCCCCGCTCCCAATACACCTCGGCGTTGAGAGCATCGTCGTCCGAACTTAGAAGTCGGCAAACTTTGTCTGTAAGCGATTAAGTTGATAAATATTTTAAGTTCTGCGGCCCGGGAGGCACTGTATTTTATGTAATTGTCACACGTTACGAGATGTTAATCTTCCTTTTCTCTTTTTTTCCAATCGTTTAAGAATTTACAAGAACTGATCTATAATAAAGATTTCAGCAATCGGCCGGCCTATATCCTGGACTATCTAATTGGTTAATTCGATTGTATATTAACGAACGGATACATTCGATTAAATTGTATACCCGATGAAAAATATCAATATCGGTTTTTCGATTAAGCCCATCGAATATATCCGTAATTTGATCGGGGAAACTTAATCCGAAAAACCGACGGTTAGTTTTCCCTAAGAAACACTAGTGGAAATTTTATAATTATTTAGATTTACGGATCATCCTCCAATTTCGATGACATTGTCAAAGTCACGATCCCGAGTGACCTTCGAGACGTTTTAGCCGTCGGTGTTTGTTCAAAAGTTATTGACAAAATATGTTTAATGTGTAGAATTTACTTTATTATTAATTAGATTATATTTTCCGAAACTGGAGCCGCCGACACGTACGCATTTTGTTTCCTGCCCGCTTTTCGGAAGGGCGGGGCCAGGGGTTTCGCCCCTCCTCCCGCCAGTATCCATTAAAAGACATACGCATCGTCCAGCCTGCTTTGTTCCTTCCCTTCGTCGGAATCTTTGCTGGGCACTAGGAGGACTATCCCCCAATCGACCTCTGCTTTCGGGACAAAAGTCTGTTGCTAGTGGGAAACCGACGACCAAAATCTTTTACACCAATGACCCACTAACACCTAGAGTGTTACTTTATCCTATTATCTTATTTTACACTATTAACCTTGTTTGATCTTATTTTGTCCTGATATATCTTTATAATGCCCCAAATTAATTCCCAAAAATGCCCAGTAATGCCGCAAATCTATACACCACAATCCTCTCAGCGGTTAATCCCTTGGTCCCTTTGTTAGCCCTCGGGGGGGGGGGAGGGGGGATTGAGTCCACGCGTTGTACGGTTCCAAAGAAGTTGCAACTTTTCGCGCGAAGTGAGATTCCCCATCCCACACCTATAATATCCCATTGCTTATATTTTCTCCCAGATCTCCTGGTATGTACGTGGATATTCCGGCGGGGGAGGGGGGGAGGAGCGAAGCGGTCAAGGGGGAATAGGGCAAGAGCATCGAAACTGGAGGGCCATCTGATCTGAACGTTTGCCGGACATTTGTCTCATTGTCAGGTTTTTCACGTGAAAAGTCGGAGTCCTTTCTTCCTTTCGTCGCGCATCCCGTTCCATGACATTGATGAGTCAGGTATTATTGTGTGATTAATAAAGTGTGTCTGTTCAAGGCACTAATGCGAAATGTACCGGTCCCATTCCAGATTAATGGCATTCTTTAGTCCGATGATGCTTTGCACTACACGGATATTTGAATACCTTTTTATGTGCGTTTGCTTTTACTCTGTATTTTGCCGATTTTTTTTTCTCCTCGGACCAGAGAAAAGGATCTGTGCGGTGCAAACAAAGTCATTTTCCTCATCGCTGAGAAATGCGGATTATTGTTGGGCTTTTTCCTTTCACGACAAAGGAAGATCAGCATGCATTCCCGACTTATATTGTTACACCTAGTTATAGAATCTGAAGGATATCTAAATCGTCGGACTGTCGAGCGCTCTTTTTAGCCAGCTTGTTTTACATCGATGCCGGGGAAAAAAGTGATCAAAAATCGCTGCGAATTCGCCGTCGGCTCCAACAATTATTGGTCTTTCGCGCCGAGGCAGCGACGTTGTTCGCGTCGACAATCCGACGACGAGATCCGGTGGGCGCGCGATTACGAATGGTAGGAATTTCGGCGGCGTTTGTCGAGATGTGCCGAGAGTGGGCTCGCTGAAAAGCGCATTGTTACTCCTTTCGTCGGTCAAAGTTCGCAAAGCAACCGGCCGCAAATATTGATGCACGCGTTTCCGCTTCGCGCGAGGTTCTGCGTCGCGACGGGGTGAACTTTGACCATGCGTATTTTCGTGCCGTCGCGTCGGGCCGTTGTGCCCGAGGCACGTGCCGATAACGATCATTGGACCCCGACGAGGTGCAATGTGCGTTCATCGATAAACGCACCGATGATTGTACATATATCGTTGGCGCAGCCGTAACGCGTGACCCGCGATCTGCGATCAATTTTCGCGTCGCCGGTTCTCCAGTGCCTGCACGCTCTGACGAACGCTTTCCACGTCCCGAGCCGCTCTTTTTAGACGGGCTCAATGAGCGGAAGATTAGTCAACGATATTTCCCGAGAGATTTAATGATGATTTATCGAGCGGCTAATTAAAAAATAAATATACTCGTAAAATGATGGCACAGCTCCTGCAGTCCCTGATAAAAAGATAAGACTTGAGTCTCTCGCGACGGAGACCAGCGTTTTTCCTTCACTTCCGTGTTCCCGTTACGCACGCGATAGACGTAAAAACTCGTGCAGGTCTCGCTGCGTTTTCTTTTCCTCCTGGTAGTTATAATGTCGTCAGATATACGAGGCTGGCTGTGTTAAAAAATGGTACCGTGTGTATATGCATAAAGGAGGTTACGCAATAACGTTACCGAGGAGAAAACGAACGGGGGAAGAGAGAGAAGAGAGAAACCGTTATATGGACAGCGACCGTTAAATGAGGTTCTTCGCTCGGATAATGGTGCCTCCGGTGGGTGTTGGCGGTCTGGTGCTGGGGGCCTTCAGACAGGATTTAGGCAGATCGTTTATAGGCTTCTCGTCTTGAGCCTTGAAAGAAGATGAACAGTCGCGTTGGCCCCGCATGTCAACGCTCGTCAGCCGAATTAACGTTTACGGGATTTGATCAAGTGCTCCCGTTCCCACGTGTGTTCCAGTCCCGAATTCTTCGTCGGGCATGATATTGTTGATGCCGTTGTACTTTTCGTCGAGGATCATCGTTTTCTTCGCCACGCACACAGAAGCATCGAGAGAGAGAGAAACGTCCCCGACGAAACGTCTTCAATTCATCCCTCTTCTAATTTTAAAGACAATATTCTTTAAAGCAGAGGTCTCGCGTGCTTCTGTGGTTCTCGCAAAATTTCTCTTCACCTCAGCGCTCGCCTTGATGATTATTAGAGGTGTGACATTTTGATGTTACCATTTGGCTTTTACTCTGATTTCCTTCGGTCTTTCTTTTGTTTGCAACGTAATAGAGTGCACAGGTAGTCGCGCTATTATGGCACTTTCAATTCTTCAAGTCACTTCTTCCGATTGAGTCTTGATCCCATTTCTGCTCGTATAGTTCCATCGACAGTATCAGTACTTATAAATCTAATCTAAATGCGGTTTACAAAAGCACGACCCCCGGAAATTTCATATCTGCGAACACGCTGTGGTATTTTTACTGAGTTTATAAACAACCGGCGCGCGATTTTAGTGCGGATGTACTCTGCGGCTCGTTCGCAGGCTAGATTAGATAAGGGATTTAGGCTGGAAATGTATTTAAAGGTCTAAAGGTAGAGGACAGCAATTGTTATCGCGTCGAGTAGGCTGATCGGATTACTGCTATCAGATCACGATAAGCGACCTCGCTCGCGAATGGTCGATTCGCGGCATTATATCGATAACGCTTAGCCCTCATTATAGGAATATTAGCACAGTCATGACAATAAAATCTTTTGTATTAACGACGCGGGTATTTTGATGAGGCTCCTACATCCCGTGACGTGTCCATTTCATAGATTTAGATTGACAAACACATCCCGTTGCCGCAATGCCCACGCCTACATTGAATTAAAGAAAAGAATGAGGGGCTTGGAGAAATCGGCGATAGCCATAGCCTGGAAAATCGAAAGCCGTTACCTAATCATAATAAATCTTCTCCAGAGAATTTCGTAATGCATCGCCTCGCCGTGGCTCTTTTTTTCAAGGACAGAATACGACGGAGAGATTTTCTCTCGAGAAGCAAGATTTTTGTCCCTGCGCTTTGTATTTATCTACGATGTGCTCTTATGTCTGGCAACATTCTATTTTAATAAATACAGGGTGCTCCAGTAGGAAAGGTCAATATTCTGGGAGGTGATAGTGTCGGTCATTTTAAGTAAAAATGTTCATATGAATATGCCCCTTTCCCCATTGTTTCCGAGATAGAGCTATTTGAATGTGCAGTTGCAAAATTACTGACTAGAAAGAAATACTACGCACTACTTCTAATATTTATTGTTCAAGTGATACATTTTTACAGATCATAAATTTTCAAAAATTCCACCGTTAACAACAATGCATTTTTCAACTCTTGTGCGAACATGGCACGTTGCTCGTTCGACACTTGTGAACATGCGAGGCATTTGGAACATTTCCACAATGTTATCAGCACAAGAGTCAACAGACGTATAAGAGTAAATTCCCGCAGACGTTTGTGAGGTTGGACGAAGGGTGAACAGAAGTGTACAGAAGAAAGTAAATACACGAGATATTTAAGTAGCTCTATCTCAGAAACAGTGGGAAAAAATGAACATTTTTGCTCCAAATGACCGATGCTATCACCTGCTAGAATATTGACCTTTCCTCTTGGAACACCCTGTATCTAAAAGCTGTACAAGCTGACGAACTGTACCATCGTACGTTGTTGATACACTTTTAAACGTACTGATTGGTTTATATCAAATAATAAAATGTTTCTAATTGCCAAAAAAAACACATCGTAGATTAATTTCCGTGTTATTTTCAGACGTACAGTAAAGTTCAATTCTTAAGGTAGTTTTAATTACGATATTCCCTGTTACTTCATTTTGTGCGCTAGAGAGTTGCTCGAAATACAATTTCAAACTCGCTAGTTACAAATAAATGGTTGACTTTCGCAAATATCGCGGCGTTAACGATCGTCGAAACTATAATATATCCAAAATGTTTCGTCGACT